TATAAACAATTAAAATAACTCTATTGAAATATAGAGATTAGAAGTATTGAGAGAGAATATAACATAACGACAAATAGTATTAAGTATTCCACGTATTATGTACCATTGAAACTGTTAATAAATCCAATAACTTATTGACAGCACCAGAAGTGCATTCCAAGAGGAAAACAGGAAAATATTTCATGAGTACATATTGAAAATAGTAAAGTATTAAAAAAGAGGATTGGAAAGGATGAGAAAAACTTTTTATATTCAAGTTCAAGTTTATAAACATTATACATTTTTTTTTAATTTTTTTATATTGTATTTAATATATTTTTTTATTAGTTATTCTTTTTATACATGCAAGTAAAATTTTGAAAACCAAAAGTTTAAAAAGTTCTAATATTAATTAATTATATTAAAATTTAGTTAGCCAAATTTGTTTATTTATTTCCTAATTTATTGCACCCTTTTCCCACATATGTAGTTTGATCCTTCAGATATATCCAATAAGAATTCCTATAGCCTGTCTTTACAAAGACTGTACGAACGAGAAAACTTTAAATTGGACGAATATTGCAGGGTTGCCTACGCCTATGAAACTTTTAAAATAAAATATTTAAGGAAATTAGAATAAATATTATTAATGATTGAACTAGTATTGAACATACAAACACACAAACACAAGCACACTGCAAAGATGAAATAGAATAGAAGAGTATATTAGATATAAAGTAGTAAAAGAAAAAATAAAGAAGGAATAACGAGTAAATTGAAAACAATTATAGTTAGTTGATAAATGAGAGAAAGAAACGATGATAGCATATATTTTAAATTGAGAAGAGCAGAATATTTTATGCAAGCACATTGCAAAGATAAAATAGAATAAAAGAGAGATATGGAGAAGAAGTAGTAATAGAAAAAATAAAGAAGGAATAACGAGTAACTTGAAAAGAATAATAGTTAGTTGATAAAGGAGAGAAAGAAACGATAATAGCATATATTTTAAAGTGAGAAGAGTAGAACAGATTTAGAATGAGGGATATAAATTATAAAGCTTTAGTTATTAGAAACAGTGATTCATAGAGATAATAAAGATAGGGAAATATTGTTAAGAAAAGGAAATAAGTGTTTAAAGAATGAAAGAAAAAATGAATAGTCTCTTACGATAATCTTATGTTATTTAAAAATTGATTTTTCATTAATGATAGAAGGAAAGACTGACAGTTAAAGATTAAAAGCATCTATTGAGAGATTTGACTTGACAGTTTCACGATTAATTACTATTTCATTTGGTTTTAAAAAATATTGAATATTGAATAAAAATCAAATAATTAGTATTTGAAACAAAATTAGATGATTGTGTTTGGAAAAGAGAAAGAGCAGTTTGGAAAAGAAAGAAATAGAGAGGACGAAAAAGATATTAAGACTCATAAAGGAAACTCAAGTAAAATATATTTTAGTAAAAGAAAAAAATGATTGATATAGATATATAGAAGAGAAATAAATAGTGACAAGGTTATAAAAAATTGTCCGAAAAGTGAAATCAATGGATGACAGATTTATAATCAAATTACTATATTTACTTTAGTGTAAACATTAGTAGTTTAATTAAAAAAAAAAATAGAAAATGTTACCGTCAACTTTTCGTACGAAAAGAAAATACTTTAAAAAGCAACGATCTAAAACACTCGCTACTTTCAAAGTAACACTTTCTCCGTACTAGTAATTAAATTTATGGGTTAATTGTTATAAAAATTTACAAAGCAATAGTTTTAGAAAGTGGAGAGGAGGAAAAATAAATGAACATTCATACACATCCATGCATACCAAATATAAGTTATATTATTTCTTTTCTTACACTACTTAAACTCGTACTAACATATCCTAAGTACTACTCATTAAAATCTAATTATGAATATATTTTATATGTACAATAATTTTCTTATTTACTGGGTTTTAAGCATAGACATTTCCTATGACTACGTTAAATTACTTATTTGGAAAGTTTCTACGAAGTTATGGAGTTTACATGTGCCGACTTCGTTTCAGGTCAAAGTCAGTACTAAATTGACATAAAGGGGAGAACTAAAGAACTAAAGCTGCCTTAAGAACCTAACAACAAACTTCAAAGTATACGTAATTACTAAAAAATACACCGTAATTTGCTGTTGTACAGCGACTAGAGTTTTACTACCAAAAAAAAAAAGAAAAAAAAACCTATTCGTTATGACCGCCTATGCTATGAGATTAGGTAGGTACGGGTAATGAAGTCTAATATTAATTAATTTTATACATAATTTTTACAATTTAAGTAATTGACTAGAAAATGATAGAGATTTATGCGCTGCTCATATAAGAAACAATAGCGAAAAATATTACAACAATAGCAATTGAAAAAAGACACTGTGAAAAAATTTGTTATTTAATTAGAGTAAAATTTATGTGCCGCACACACACTTACACGCGCGTACAGCGGAATGTACAGCATGAGTGGTTGCCTGTGGTGTGCCGCGCGGGATGTATGACTTTTTTGGATACACGCCCTACGCGATGTAAGCGTCACGCTCGAAATGCAAATTAGACAGTGCTGCCAATTAAGCAAATCTGTTTCGACATTAAACTGTGCTTGTGTGCTAATACATATGCGACGTCACTCCATGTTCGTGTTCGTGTGTGTGTGTACACGTTAAAAAATCGTTGAATCGTTGTTTAGTGCGCTGTTTTATGTTTTATTGCTGTTTCATTTTTTGGCATTTAGCAAAATAGAAAATAAGTTAGACTGCTCAAATGGTTTATGGCTATACGCCGCTATACATATAGATATATATATATATATGTGTGTGTTTGTATGTGTGGGATGATGGCGTATTTATAATTCAGCAGCGTTGTTTACGGTAATAACAATTATAATGATGATTTAAAAAGGGGATTCACATAATTCACTTACACGCTTACACATACATACATATACATGTATATGCCTGTGTATGTGTGTAACGGTACAGACACATTAAGACCGAAAAAATGGAAAAAAGGATACATGAACTTCTGACTGTGCTGTCCATAGTAATAAAATCGCGTACTAGCATTAGTTACAAAGTCCATGCAATACATTATAAATTTTTCGGTTACTTAAGGTACGGTGTGGTGTATACCCTTACGTTCTGACACGTTCCATTACAGTAAACGCACACTTTCGTGTATTTAATAACTTTAATAGCATTTCAAAAAAGAAATACTACATTAAATAAATAAATGGTCGTAGTCCAATGAAACAGTAGCGGAGTTGTACTAGTTGAGTCTTATAGAACTATTAAATTATAATCAGTACTAGTTGAGTCTCATGAACCTATTAGATGTGATTCGTCTTCGTTTATGTGTAGTGTTAAGGCCCTAACATAGTTAAGTAAGATTTATTTAGTCTTCAATAAGAATCATTTCAAAGGGTTACTTACTCACTAATTTGGTCATTACAGACATGGGTCGACCTTTAATAGATTGTTCTATACTACAAATAAAACACAAAAAGTAGTATTAACCATGTTCAATGCCCAAATGTTGGTGATATTTGCTATAACTAGTTGGTTTTTAATATATATAGTTATTTTATATAAACTAATTATATTAACAGATGATTTTATGCAAATAAATATAATTGTGTTTATATTGTTACTATTGTATGTTAAGAGGTTTATAATTAAATACATTCAATATATAAAGAAACTACTCCAAAAATGCATAAAAGAAATATTAAGCACTCCGGTTTGACATAATGTCTTAAAAATTGTTTCTTTATATAAATATTAGTTACTTCAAATGCTCTGTCACAAACACATTTATAACATAAACTATGTTTAACACGCAGCTAATGTTTATTATAATGCTGTTACTTCATTATTTCAATAATGACTTGTAATAAACTAGTATTTACAAATGAGCAACTACTAGTTACTATGCAAACATATTGAGAAATTTCTAATATGACCATATGAAAATTGGTTTCATATATTAATATATGTATAAAATTACAAAACTAGTAATTGAACATATATATTTCAAATGAGCATTCAGGATATGGTGATAGTAGTTCCTTACCATAAACTAGTTTCTTAAGCTTTTTTGATGTCCATTAAAACTACGATGACAGTAATATTCTTAGCGAGTATATGAAGATAATTTTGTTTTTCAAAACAATGCAAAAATATTGACTAAAATTTTGCACAACTAGTTAAAAACAGCATTTCTTCAAAACAAATTTTTCTATTAAGTTCTGATCTATAAAAAACTCGTCACTATATAAATAAACTAGTTTTTTAAAATAACAACTAGTTGTAGTGTTAACACATCTTGGGTGATAGTGTACAAAACAGGTCAAAAACGTAACCCATATTTTCTCTTACACTGCAAATGTAATAATTCTAGAACGAGTTGTTATTAGTTGATGTTAGTAATAACTTCCAGTTTTCGTAAGAATAAAACCCACTAACCACAACGAGTACAATACACAATAAAAGTAAAAGTATTCTTTCTCTCTTTTTCGTTGCTTGACTTGTTTCCACGTTTCTGATTCCGCTACTGTTCAAAAGTTTCTTCAAATGTCAATTGCCAAACCACACACACATATATATACAAAAACCAACAGTAGCAATAATTACAAAAATTAGAGAAAATACAGGAAAAATTAGT